AATTTATATACTAGCAGAACACTTCTAAATATTACGTCAAAGATTCATAATACGATCATGAAATCATTGAATTCTTGCTTACTTAGACTGACTCATGCTATTGCCTTATACAAATTAGAAGGGGAACTTTATTATTATTATTATTGACGTATACGAAGATGACTAATACGGAAAATCAAATAGGCGGCACTGATACAAGCCTTTCACTTGATGATAGTTATTGTCACGTCCCTTCCTCAAAACAGTTAAATAGTAAGGTATACAATATTTTAAACTGTCATTGCAGTGATTACGATGAGATATATTGAAATTAATGAAAACAACCCTTCACGTCAAGCAGGTAACAAAAATTAACAGTCATCCAATTGTTGTTTTAAATATCAAACAGTCAATTAAGAATTGGTTAAGAGTTTATTGTCCTTATAAATAGACCATAAGGTACGGTAGTTTTGGAACAAATTTAGTTGTTTTAGTGTATATCCAGGATATAATTACGTTAGCTAAATACTGCATAAGCTGATGAGTATTGAGCAGATGGTTAATGTAAAGATCATCAATGAAACTCCGTCATTAAGAATAATAATTAATTTATAAAATCCCTCTGAGGTAGTGATGTAATGCCTCTTATTTGAAGAATTGGATTGTTTTTAATTTAAACATGAGATAGTAATAATTCAATTTACTGAACAAAACTCAGCAATAAAGTATTTGGTAAGGAAGAATAATGAACAAATTACTTCTGCAAAACACTTTGCTTACGTAAGATAATCTTGCGTAAATAGTTATACAGTACAATGATAATCGTGGAATACTTTTAATATGACATTTACGACTGGTACTTTCTGAAGTGACCTTTACTTCGAATTTATGTTATTAATGGAATTAAGATCACTAAATACAAAGCAATGCTACATAATGCAGCAAACAAAAATTTGTTATTGCGGAAATTATAGTATGTGACGTACTTTAGGTGGTCTTGATTCTCTATCATCATGGTCCTATTATTCCTTCGTGCAAATCTAGTGATTGGAACATAATATCCTATATTAGATTTATATTTGAAAAATAGCTAAAAAGATCGTCGAAACTAGTATGAATCCTCTCCTAAGTCCTAGTAGGTACAATCTGAGTTTTAGATAATATAAAACCAGAACAAGTACCGCGATATATATATATATAGGTTATATATATGAATTAAGGAAATCATAGCAAGTGATGCACTTCAGATGGTCTTGATTCTCTATCATCATGATCCTACTGTTCTTTTATGTTAGCTTAGTGATTGAATAATAATATTTCAAATAGTCTTTATATTTGAAAGATTATAAAAAAGATCATAGCTATTATTATCAACTATTTCGTAAGTTCCATCAGATACTATCTGAGTTTTAAAGAGTATAAAACTAGAATAAGCATTTTAGAAATTGATATATTAATTCCTAACATTTATTATCAAAGCTAATGATTAGCCTTTTCTACAGGTTTCATAACTCAATATCGTTATAAAAACTTGTTGAGTGTTGTCTACGTTCGCTTAAGTAATACTAATAGTAGCGAACAACATAGCTCCAATTTTATTTACTACGTCAAGATAATCCCATAAAACGCTATCATTTTCTGCCATTCTAAATGACATGGATGTATTTATGATAGTTTATTGAACTACTACATGAAATCAATATACAAAAATAATTCTAGACTGTTATATCATTCGTCTTTGATTGTTTACTTCAAGCTCACAAGTTCCCTCATTTGTAAGGGAAGAAAAACTGAAAAAAATCATTGATTATCCCATTTATTTTTGGACTGTAATGAGATGACAAATTACTTCTAGTAATTGTTTTTTTGGAGGGCAAAAGTAAATATCAATGGATGCTATTGGAATAATCCAATGGCTATAGAAATTGTTGTTGTTTACCATTTTAGGCCCCATTACGGAAAAAACATACTTAGCTTTTCTGATTGAAAAATAACAACAAGTAGCAATGCTCTTTTATCTTGATTTGTTATTTAATTTTTCCTCAACAATTACCATAATGACTATGGTTGAATACTATTGTAGCTAGTCATAGCGTATGCAGCTTACTTTTGATTTTACTGTTTGATTCGTATGGATATTTTTTTCGCAGTAGTATGCAGTAGTTCTCTCCCTTTAATAAAGGAGTAAAGTGGATAAAATAATTGTTATACTACAATACTGAACATTCATTTATCGGAGATGAGAGAAATACTTGTGTAATGGAATTAGAGATGGATGAAAATTATTTTCACTATAAAATAGAAGCAGAAAATATATCGACCATACTTTCAAGACAGTATCCATTAAAAGGCTTTCCTATTAATTCGAATTTTTAATTGGATTTGTTTATAAATTCTAGATACAAAATATAGTATTAACAGCTTTATCTTAGATACAGGCATTCTTTTGCCATAGTAATTAGAAAATAGGTACTATTATTTAGCTGATAAAAAGATGCAAATTACTCACTGATACGAATTAATATTGTTAATGGTATGACATTATTACTTTTATGAAAAATAAATACAGTCGGTTTAAAGCTCTAGGCTCAAGAAATTATTCAAGGTAGATTTCCCTATTTTACTTCATTTGGAAAGAAAATAAGAGAATACTCACTAAAGTATTACTAACGATTATTCCAGTTGGGGTCCCTGATGCTCGTTAATCTTGTTGACAGAATGATAATGTTACTTACAAGAAAAATAAATACAGTAGATTTGAACTTCTAGACTCAAGAGATTGTTATAATCCATGATAGGCCTTTCTATTTCATTCTATTTGAAAAAACAAGTAAATACTCGCCGACATATTACGAGCTGTTGTTCTAGTTGGTTCCCTGATGCCAGTTAGTCCAAAGAAATGGCCTTATTATTTATATTAAAAATAAATACATTACGTTTATACCTCTAAGCTTGAGAGATTATTCATAGTAGACCACTACTTTATTTGGTTTGAAAAGAAATGAGTGAATATTCACTAACATATTACTAACGGTTGTTCTAGTTAGTCCCTGATGCCAGTGAATCTTGTTGACAGAATGACATTGTTACTTATATGAAAAATAAATACAGTAGTTTGAACCTCTAGGCTCAAGAGATTATTTTAATCAATGGTAGTTCTCGCCATTTTATTTAGTTAGGAAAGAAATTAGTGAATACTCACTAAATACTGTCGTATCATCGCTTTTATAGATGGTGTATTGTATGTCCTATTTAACATTAAATATAAGCTATCGACTTGAGTGATTGCTTTAGAGCATCCTGTCTAGTTGCTGTTATTGCTAATGCATATTTTAATTCATTAGCTAAGTTGGCAGAAATGAAACGAAGGTAACCCATTATTAGCTGTTCATGAGGATACCATTCCCAATTGTCTTGTCGTCATGAAAGAGAATATTACCATCACTACGAAAAAAGTGATTACATTGAATTAAGTTATGGACTTTAGTAGCAGTCTTAATTTAAAAACATTGATATCGTTATTGCTTTCATCTAATCAAACAGAACTAAAGTAGAGCTTTTCTTTGATGTATAAAAGGATTTAGCGACATCATTGACGTACTATATCATTTGTTTATATGATTTACTTAATATACAACGATGAAGCCCATTTGATATTGTTACACAGCGATTCTATTTGCTTAGGCAGATGTTGATTGATAGATTGAAGGTTTACGTGTGTATTGTTTTAACAGTTAACTAAAAGGGTAATACAAAGCAATCCATTTCCTCAGCTAAGAATTCAATGAAGAGTCTTTTTCTATGGAAAAAGGTCAATACTGTCCTTAATAAAACTTAGGAATGCTAATTAACGTATGATCATATTATGAATTATTCAACAAATGGCATGATAAAGCTGGAATAAAAAAAAGGATAAAGAATAAACGAGTTCAGGATCACTTATTTCTATTGGCCTCATTTAAAATCAACACGAATAAACAAAACAAATTTGATTTTATATTTCTACTGGCAATTAAGCAATCAAACTATCGTAGACATCGAAAAAATATTTTTGTAAGCCAAGGCGTCAGAAAGTGTTATCGATCAGCTTTGATTTATTGGCGAAATTGGAGACAAATGATATTGATGTCAAGTAGCAATTACCTACTATGTGACGGTACGGTTTTTCTCCTTTTATTTCGTTTCTATAATTTTGAAATGTGTATAATATTAACATGATCAATAGCAAAGATGACTCATAACTTAAGTTACTAGCTAAATAACAGCATGTAAAATGCTGAAAAGATGATTTTGTCTGGTTTTATAGTTATGAGTTGTAAGTTTTAACGCATCATTGAGTGTCATTATAAATTAGATTTGATTTTGATAGCGGGCTATCGCATATTAAAATTATTCTGATTTAATCGACAATGTTTGAGACATTGTTATTAAATGATCATCATACTTATTCTTTTTGAATTTTCATTTTGCTCGGGTAGAACATCAATTTGATCTCGTTTTTAATTTTTCTTAATTAACAAGATTGTAAAAGCTCGATATTTTCGTCATAATTCCAGTAATGAAATTTTCATCAACATTTTAGATTACGAGTTACTTGAAAACTAAATATTGCCGTCATTTTGATATATTACATAACCTGTTAGTGTAGAGGCTACTATTTCTGATGTTTGGTATATTTGCGTTCAAATTTTCTGCCTTAAATAGGGCTATTATTTATCGTTACCCCTTCATTAGCATAGGTCAAATTGCAAGCAAAATTGTGGTCTTGACTTACTACGGCATATTACTGCAATATTGCTCTATTTTTATGATCGAATTGAGTTTTTAGGTAAAATTTTACTTAGCAAATTTTCTCATGCAACTCTTTCCTGTACGTCTATAAATATATCCCAAAGTCCATTAATAATATATTTAAGGTCTTTCTAGATGAACTTTTCTTTTGCTATCCAAATCTCACGTGGGATACATAATACAGTAATATGCCATTATTCACAAGAATATGTTAATAAGAAAGAGAATAGATGGCTGAAAAGTTATTTTATGAAGTTCATGCCATAAGATACCCCTTCACTTTGTGTTCACTCAATCATGATTTTCCTACAGTAGACACAACATAGTAAGTTCCCTCTTTAATATTGATCATAAACCTTATGATGAATGCTGACCAGTATGATGAATTCATTATATCATGCAATGGACGTTTTTCATCCTTCCAGGCTAATTATCAGGTACCGCAAGTCATAATTAGCGGCTAATTCGTAATCTTTATAACTTGATAATGTTTCATGTTGGTCTTGAATAAGGTAGACGAGAGCGTTTAAGTCTAAAGGTTTACTGACCAAACTACGAAAAGGTCAGCTTATAATTGATTATAGAATTATTTACTTGCAGCAAAGCTTTTCTACTAAATTTCCAGCATAGCAGTCTTGAATAAGATATGAACATTGAAATGAGAGTTTTACCGATTAGGCTATAGAGCTGATCAGTCAATTTAGTTAATAGACAGTGTGACATGACATGAAGGCGGATTCTACTAGTATGGTATGTCTAATTTTGCATCAGAAATAGCGCTACTAGGGCTAGTACGATAACTTTCAAGTCCGTTTACCAAGTCATAGATTAACCAATTTTTGCTAGATATAGCGGATAATAGTATTTAAAACGGTTCAATTGGCTATCATTTGGGATAAAAACTGCAAGACATATCTAACTACGAGGGTTTCATGCTTACCTAGAATAATTTAAAAGAATTCTAGATGCCTATAAAGACATGTGTGGTATAATTAATACCGTAAATGATCATGCTATTTTTTATTAAAAATTAAAATGTTACCTCTACAAAATTGTGTATCTTGACATTAAAGTTGTAACACCTAGAGATCGTTTTGCTAGTTGGCAAGAAATTGGTCTGGACGATTAAATATCGCCACTGCGTTAGTAAGAATGTTACTTACGATTAATAAGGACTTGACTTTACACCATTAAAATGAAGCAAAATATGCTTTTAACTACAATATTTAGCCGCTGATTATTAATGACATCATAATCGTTTTAGCACATCAGTATTGTAAGAACTTGAACTTTACTTACAATTGAGGAAGCAATCTATTGTGATCATTTCTGCATTAAAATTAATTAAAGTAATTAATTACCTTATAAATTCTAATCTCTGCCATCAATAAGATGCGAAATGTTTAATAACAGCTGCGCCTGTCTCATAAACTTAAAAAAACAACGCCTTATTTTGCTTTTGTGCAAGATAATGTTGCCTGACTATAATTATATTATTAATTTGTTTTTTCAAATATGATTTTTCCTATAGGTTCTTAATCGAAAACTATCTTCATCGTTAACTAATTTACATTCAATCTCTAGCCGTCCAGACTGCACTCATATTAATCATATCTATACTATTGAGCCAAAGTTTAAAAATTCAGATGCCAATACGAACAATGATTTCGATAGCGATGAACGTAAGATCGGCAAGGCAATGGCTAGTTTACGAGTAGAATCTAACGGACATACCTTGAATAATCATTTTGCTCAAAAGCTTACTAATAGCGACTCCAAAATGACTTTAACCGAAGACACAAAAGATCACAAAATGGATGGCCAACAGATATTACATTGCAACCCTATTACCACTAGTGAAGACGAATACTCACAAGATGAAAGCAATGGCGACCATGCTGAGGTAGAACCTGTAAAAGATCTCGATCAGGATAGTAGTCAAGCATTGAATAAAGAGGCAAATACAAGCACTAATCGTTTTATATCCAACAACATGAGTGGATATTTATATTTATGCCCAAATCAAGGTCAAGACGAAAATGATAGGCAAAATTATACTAAAAGATGGTGTGTAGTAGGACATCAATCATTTTATTTATATGAAACAGTTTATGATACAGCGCCGCCCGAGAATATCTACCGTTTAGACCATTGCCGATTAGTAACATGTAATGAAGTAAGAAGAATTAAAAATAATACTAAGCAAGCCACCGGGGAGAAGAAATTATATGTTTTCGAGTTAATGCATCCCAACGGCCGATTGGTCTTAGGCGCATCCAATAAAACCCAGCAGGACAGTTGGGTTAATGCCATTGAGAGCGAATTTAGTCAACTTAGCGCTGCATCTGAAGAGGATAATAATCAGCCAATAATAAATCAAAATGCCGGAGATGATACTACTGTAATTAAACCAAAACCGAGTAGAAATCATCGCAAGGTGAGAGTTGCTTATTTCATCATTTATCGCCTTAGTCAAATATTAAGATCTTCCATCAATACGAGCAGATCGCTAATAGGTTTTAGCCATGATATTACACTTTGCTTTATAAGTAATGAATATTTATAATCCTATTGACGACATTGAAAGGACATCTACTCTATAAACCTAAGCACGCTGGATAGCCACTTTGTCTAGCATTTTTGGATATTTTAATTCTCTGTACATTTTACTATTAATTAGAAAATAGCGTTAGATATTTTGCTTCCGTATGAGTAGATTTACGTTGTTTTACAAGTAATAAATGTTATATTTCTGCTGGTAATAATGAGATTAAAAGGGCAGCTACTCTATAAAACTTAGTACGTTGTTTAGCAATGTAATCGATATCATATTCCTCTCAGTAATAATAAAATTAAAAGGACAATTACTTTATAGGACTTAAGACGTTGTTTAGCTACATTGTCTAGCATTTTTGGATAATTTAATTCCCTGTCAATTTTTTTCATTAAAGAGAAAGTACTGTATTTCAGTTAGATAATCTTTCTCCTATTTAAATATATTAAATAAGGGCAAATTATTGTAGCAACAAAGGATAAATGTAAAACTAGTTCCTTGTTATATCTGCTCAATTTCAAATTAATTTGATTATTTATTCTTTCATGGTATCCTATGAGTATTTTAGCTGAATAGCGGGCCTAGGCTATTTATTATCAAGTAGTAGTCATGAAAACGAAAAGAACTACGATAGCAAATAATTATTATGATCTCAAGATTATCCTATTCCATAGTAAAGTATAGACAAGGCTCTAATAGACATAGCCTATAACCTATTTGCAAACTTTTATCTCTTAGAAGAATATCGTAGGTTGCTGGTATACTTTACACAATCGCTAGATAGTATATGACTTCGGTTTATGCTGGTATAAACTCAAATTTCTTTCCTTCTTAACTCAGATATAACCCGAATTGATCTCTTCCAATATATAGGGAAGGTCTTTCTTATATCAACGTCGTCCCTTAACTCTGACATTCGATCCGTCTGAATCAGTTGATGGTGAAAAGTCATCCATTATGAAGAATAGTCTTTCATCTCCACAAAATAACGTCAATGGAGAATCTAAATTGTTTCATCATCAAGCAGTGCAAGGCTCTTCTTGTTATGGCTTTTTAGAAAGAAAAAACGCAGTTGGTAAATGGACATCGTATTGGTTCACACTATCTTCAATGACTTTACATTGCTATAAGGAGCCGAATGATGCAGCTCCCTCTGATTCTCTACTTCTAAGGGGCTATGATGTGAGAGCTGTTGGTAGTAGAAATCATCGTTATATATTTTCGTTAAGTACGGGTCTCTTAAAAACATACTATTACAGCTGTACTTCACTGGAGACAAGAACCAGTTGGATATATGCATTATCGCAAGCAATTATGGAAGCAAGCGGTAAACCTAAAGCAAAAAAGCTAAGTATATTAAGGAAGAAAAAAAGAAACAACGATAATCAATCGATTTCAGACAATGCAACTAAGAATTCATCAGAAAAAGAAGTGGATAACACTGATAGCCAACATCATGATCGACAAAATGAAGCTCATGACGAAGCAATGCCGCAGCAGCTACCGCTAGATTCCTTAGCTGATGTAACAAAATTAGACCAAAACGATTACCATGCTTTAAAGCCGAATAATTCTGAAATCATATTGACCACAGCAAGTGATTCGACGTCGATACGAAAACAAAATTCAAACCCGAATAGTCCGCAATTAGTCGCCAAAGGCCTACAAGAATCACGTATGGACAAACAGCAATCAGCTAAAGAAAAGTTGGTTTCTCAGTTAAAAGCTCAAAAAGAAAGGTTAATTAATTCGCTGAATAACTCTGATATTCGTTTATTATCACCGTCGTCCAATGATGCTTCCCCTATTAAAGAATCTGAAACGGTGAGTTATTATTAAAAGCTAGAATAATATATTTTTTACGACTAGATAAAATCAATTGCACCTTTGCTGCACTAATTAACGGTTGTATTTTAATCTGAATTCAGGCTGAGGTTCTTAGCATCGATAACATAGAGAACGAATTTCTAGAGAAAGTCAGAAGTAAATCTAATACTTGGAGATTACCATCACCCGTCAGTGGGACTCCGGAAATTTCTGTTATCGAACAGTATAATGCAGCCATTGAAGATGAAAATCAACGTGCAGCTCGATTTGATACTCAATACAAGAAAAATCGAAATTCAATCATGTTAAAGCGTGATGAAGCAACAAAACATTTAAATAATATTAAGAAAATAATAAGTAATCAGCATCATCGCCATATTGGTAGTACAATTAGGAAGCGTACATATAGCCATTCCAAAGCAAACCATCAGCAAGAGTCGAATTGGTCTTCTAGTAGCCCAGTGCAACGAAAAAACAGCTTAGGTAGTCAAGACGTAGCCATAGGAGATTCTATGGAAGTTACCATGAAAAAATACGAAAAGATAAGCAATGAATTATTACAAATGGATAACGAAATTGATCGCCTAGATACGGCAATAAAAACTAATAGAAAGCAACAAGACACAAATGTCAATACACTTACTGTTAAAAGAGAGGCTATACTGGCTAAGATTAGGGCAAATACTAAATAATATCCTATCCATTTTCTTATTTCATGACACTATAGTAACACTTTACCTGATTCTAAACACTTAATTCAATATTCTTCATGTCTATCTGACTCATGTCTGCTACTTCATCAAGTAATATGATGTCGTGAGGCGGTTAACAGCATTTTTATCTATATGTTGCTATTGTATTTAAAATTAGAAGATATATTTACGGTTATACTATACATATTATAAGGATAATTTGTTAATGGTGTATTCACGGATAGGCCATATTATTAGCATAGGTTGTTAATAATTAATTTATGCATGCCGTACAATTTTTCAGTAGTATCCCTATTTATTACATTTAATAGCCAATTTAAAGTATATCAAGTACCGAATATAATATTATAGCCTAAAAGCAACATGTCTACGATAATGGTCATGAAAATGAGTATTTCTTAACAGTAAAAAGAAGCATTATAAAATTGAAAAAATTAGCGAAAAATGTACTTATGGAAGGCACTGCATTCAGAGAAAATATTGAAATATTCTACAAATAATCAGAGCATTCGGTGATTAATAAAGTATTATTTTATTTAAAACTATCTTCTATCATAGCACAGGGCCTGTGAACTATAAATTATGAATTCTCAGGTACTAATAGTTGTGTACTTAAAGAATTAAGATTGTCTGTCATTTACCTACTTTGAATAAACCGTAATTTATAGTAATGTCAGTCCACAAGTTTAGGCTATATTTTCTTGAATGTAGAGCATACTTATAATTTAAACGTTGAAAAAGGCTTAATTATAGCAAAATATAACTTTTACTTAGGATTTTACTACGTATTTACTACAAAGTTTGCACTTCCTGTTATAATTTTGAATTAATTATTAGTGTCTAAAAGCATTAATCGCCTATGTATCAAATATTCATTTCTAATGTTTGCACTAATTAGGTGTAGTGTTGTATATTCACATACACTGTAAGGGTTTTGTGAATAGCAATTTTTTGATATTGTAATACTGACTATTTAGAATAAGTTTACATAATAATATTAATCGAAATTTGGATAATAACTTAGCTTTTTGCCAACAAGAAATAAATTATAATTTCTAATAGGAATTCTTTGCAGCTATGTTGTAACTAAATTGAAACAGAAGTATAAATTTATGTCTATATAATTAATGGTAAATTCCACTCATACGCATCAGATAGTTTACATTTGAAATATCGCAAATGTTGCAGTAGAAACATTTGATATGTTACTACCATTGTCAAATTTATTTGTCTCAATCATTTATTTTGTATAGGCTTATCACTAGTAATAAGAACAAGTAAGGAGACGATGGTTATGTGCTCAAGAAATAATGCTAGTGTCTGTCTAAATAATGCTGTAGATAATCTTACGTTTTGGTACTAGCTACGAGTGCAAAATTGCAAAGTTCATTTCTACTAAAATCGTTGAAATTAAATTCAACAATCCAAATTTGATATGTACCCCGATATTCTAATTAAATGATAGCTCGAGGCTAGAATAACAATATTATATTATGGCAATAGATTACTAGTACTTTCGATACTAATTGATATTTAATTGAAAACATCTGCTTGATATAAAATAATATGTATAAACTAATGGATGTCATGATGTTATGCGTTTTACTAGGGTTATAGTTAATTTTACAATTGCCTTAACCCTCTATCCTGTTAATTGAATAAGTCTCGTATAAATTATTTAAAAGCTAATCTAATAATTTAATAGCATTATTCCGTTCGGGTAATGTCTAGCAGTGACAGTCTTATGCAATCTTTTTCGTTTAAATCTATCGTTCTTTACAAGTCATTAGCTGTGTTAGTTTTGCCTAATTAATCATCATGACAACCTTTTAGCCTTCTTGATCATCTCATACTATAGCATCACAACATATCCGTTCCCATGGATAATGACATGTAACATCTGAAGAGGCGTTTAAGTTGAAACCCATCGAATTATAAATAAATAATCCTCAATTCTGTATTTTACGTCGATATTACAGTAATATTCAGGTAATAATTTGGGTTAGCATTAATTATCAAGATGTAGATAAGGTTATTATTTTAATGTAATTGGCCTAAATTAGTTTCTTTATTTGTACTTGTGCATTATTTCATAAAATGGATGGTATTTAGGGCCTGCGAAAATTAAGATGACTATTCTCAGTAGATTGAAGAGCTTTAATAAGCTTTAATTTTGTGCCTAGTTGTCAATATATCAGTTTTGAATTAGTTGTGTCTTATTACTCATCTGTAACATCTAATTCTTCCAACTATATAAATTAGACAAATTGGTGATCTACATGTCTACACATTAATTTTGTAGCTTAATGAGGTCCTAATGGATATTATTGATAAAATAACCTTAAGACCTAAAGTAGTGTTAAATCTTGATCACTTTAAGCAAAACATTACGTATAAAACTTGAATAATAGTGGATCTTGTTGATAATATGGACTGTACAGTAATTCAATTTCATATTTTAGCCTCTAAAGATAATTATAGATTTATTTTTCATTCAAGTAGTGATACACAGAGGCAAGAGTCTTGGTAGCAACGGCTCTGTTTAGCTTATTTTTCTTACTCAAATGATGATGCCAACAATATAAACAAAATAGCGACAACAGGTAGGTTACTATATCATTGTTTGTTTATGGGGTATTCAAAATAATTTGAATAAACTATTGTTAATTTTTCGTGTGATCGAATGATACTAACGTGGCAAGATCTGATCGAACTAGTTTATGTTTGTCGCTGTACGTATATAAGATATTCTTCGTTGACTATTTATCATTCTATTTGAGATTTTAATTAACTATTATTATTAATGCAACATTTAATCTTTTATCTTCATTTCTATTGATACTAACAAAATATACGAAATTTTACCATACTGCAGTTATGTTATCGGTACTATAGCACTTGTTCCAAACAGAGATTTATTAATAGTGTAATCAAATTTCAGACATATGTTAATCGATTTTATATTTAGTCATTCAAATTATTGATTTTGCATCTTTTGGCCGCTTTGTTGTCTATAAAAATCACTAAATTGTTAACCTCAAACTTAATATTGTTAGTATCTTCTATATTAATTTTGGTTAAATTACTTAAATCTCTGAAATTCGTTTCATTCGATCACCAAAGTGATATACATTTTGGCCTATAATTTCGTTGAAATTCTTTCCTTCAGCATTTCATTTTATCTACAATATCAATTTTAATAATCAGATTTCAGAGATTTTTTTAATGATGTTTTATTTAATGATTCAGGGTTACTGGTTTCGTATCTCTATTCCACTTTATTGTCTATAAGGATCACCATATTGTTAACTTCAAGCTTAATGTCGGCGATAGCTTCTGGATTAATTTGGTGAAAGTATCAAAATTTGTGAAATCAACTTCATTCGATTACTACAGTGATATATAGTATACTGTACCTTGGTTTACATTACCTCTGAACTTGTTTCCAATAGCGGTTCCTTTTTCCTAAAAATATCAACTGGACCATTGCTCAATGCACAAATTGCATTTATAAGCCTTTCTTGTATCATCATCATCATCATTATCAGAACAGCTTAAAATCTAAAGTCTACCACTAATATATTCTACAATTTTCAATTATTTTAATATAGGGATTAAACCTTAAATGACAAAATACAAGGAAGGAAAAAGTTCTTAGCACCTAGCTTCTTTTCATTTCCTTTTCTTGTGTACTATATTCAATTATTTTGGAGAAAGAACAACAAATTTAACTGTAAAAATTGCTATTTCAGCTAAAAAGTAACTTTGCTCTTGAAATTTTGGACCATCAGTCCCATATATACGTTGTTCATAATTAGATATATCTTCGATCATTTCTTGGGTTTTTCTCTTTTACAATACCTTATTAGTTTAGTATATTAGAATAATCTTTGCCCAATATGCAGTGTCAATCTTATATTACTGTCCCTGAACCTAATCCACACTGGGTTAATTCAAGTGCTATTCATTCTTGGTTTGTCGCATTTCAATTTCATATTTACTTTTTTGCGACATGTTTTGGATGCGTTGGTATATACGCTCTCGCTTCGATCATAGCCTATGGTGAAAGTATATTTAAAAAGCGATTTTATTTGGCAATTAATTTCCTTTTGATCTTTTTTGCTTTAGTTAGAACGGTTTTTCTTCTCTATGATCCCTATGAATCTAGTAATGACTTACAACGTTTTGGCAATACTACTCAATTATTACCAGTGACAACTAGGGTTCTCCATGGCATAGGTTATCCTTGCTTAACTTCGGCATTTACCTTGATATTTTTAGCTATCATAAATTGTGTTAAAGTTAAAACTGTCTCCAAGAAACTGCAACATCCGGCTTTCATTGTATCTGTCATTACGCTCCACTTTGCTGTAAGTTAATGTTATAATCTTTACGATTAAGATAATTTCATTTTTCAACGCTCCCATATTAAAAACTGTCTGTGAAGATTCTTTTAGCTAAGACATAGAAAGAGTTTATAAAATTTTCTAGATTTATTTACAATACTGACATTACTGGTTTACCATTCTTATTGAAATAACTCCTTTTTTGATTTTGAAGTGGTAGAACTTAAAAAACTATATTTTTATCGGAATTGTAGTTTAAACCTAGGAACTTAATCGCCTGAGTAACTTTTCAATTAGTAAATAAATGTTAAATATTATATCTATTGGTATTACTATTTTACCACAATTTAATTCAAATTTGAAGTAAATTGAGTTTGAAATTGCTAACTTTTTTTCGGACTTTTAACTAAACACTGTCACACTTTTGTCTTCAAAATCCTTCCTATCCCAAATTAACATTTATGTACAAAATTTTACCTGAATGTTACAGCCTAAATTGAAAATTTATACTACAATCTAGGGAATTTAATGACTTTATTAATGTCCGCTAAAATATGACTTATATCATATTTTTGCTGAGATTGATCCAAAAAAGAGATTTCTCGTGACATTAAGATTCCTAGTCTTTTCGAT